TGGGTGGATGCAAAGCATTTTAATCTGTAATAAATATTAATGCATTGATTATCAGTTGGAGTACTGGGAGATCCTTTTAAGGGTGCCACAGGGTGAGAGAAGATAAGGGCTCACTTCTCCCCCCACTTCCATACTCGCACAGACCCTGTGCAAGGCACTAAGCACTGTAATAAATCAAGGAGTTTTTGAAAAGGCATGCCACTAAATTCAGAAATAATATGGAAGGATCTAAAAAGGTTGAAAACTACTGGATTAATGAGAAACCCCCCTGTAGCCAAATAAGACTCCATAACACAGTCCTCTTATTGCATTCTGTTCCTGCTAAGAGGAGAAATATTTTCAGAGGAAAGAATACGTTGCTTGGTCTAAGCAGATGCTAAAACATGCATACAGCCCACACACCTTTCCTCCATGGCAACTCTCAATCATTCCTCTCACTGATGTTATTCAATGAACCTAAAAACAGTCTCTGCTCAATTTTCTAGAAGGGATAAGGACAGAGACAAACAGGAACGCTAATTACTTCAGTATAATACTGCCTGCAAGTCTTCTTTTGTATATACATTTTATCAACAAAAAAAATTTAGATAATTAAAAACAAAAGAAAATTACAAAACAGAATTGACTTAGATTGAGATAATTTGTTACCTAAAGCTTTAAAAATTAATCTAAATTCTCAATAATAAAATTTCTTTACAGTATATCAAATAAAACTAATATCTCAAGGAAATTAAAGTGCCTACTACCATAATAATTCAGAACATCATTAACCTCATCACAATTTAAGAGAAACATAAAAGCAATCATTTATAGTAATATTATATGAAAGGTGTAGTCTTTAATTACCAATATGTCTTTTTCTATTGGTGAAGAAAAATCTGCTTTTGGAGGCTGAGTTTCATCTAGGGAAGTAGGCTGCTCCACAGTAAAGCTTTGCTGCCTAACAAAACAAAGATGATATTATGTGCGCTGTGCCCTGTGCTCCTTAGATAAATCACACACATCTGAGAACTACCAACCAAGCAAAAGAATGATTGCCACCTTTGGAATCATAAGCATCAAAAATTGTATTGAAATCCTAATATTTTTCCAGACAAAATGTTATTCACAAATATCTTTTCTTTGAGGGTTTACAGGCTTGATCCTTAATTCTACGCTTACATGTCTATTAATGTCATTTTTACTCTAAATGCAATCTAATTTTAAATTTAAATTTTAAACATGAAATACTTTTGGAATATCAATTATGTATCTTTCCACAATCAAGTCAGTAAGAGCTACTAAAATTAATACAAACTCCGGGATCTGCCATGATATGTTAAAACCTGTCTTATTGTAAGCGTTAAATATATATACATTAACCACTTCTTCTAATTCAGTTCATGACAATTAATTTATTACATCATTAAATCAAAAAAGCTCAAGAAGAAATACATTCTTTATTATCCAATAATGCCAAACTACCAATATGCAAAATCTTTGTTATGACAATTAAAACATTCTAGTCAAGTATCCATTACAGTTACACTGCCAGCTCTTTTGATGCTAAATCACAGTATTAGATTCCACCCTTCTGTTCAGTTGAATTTATCAACATTTCCAAAGTAGTCTTCAGGCTGCTAATCTCCTTAGCAGAAGATACACACAATGCAGACTATATGGGCTTCTACAGATATGCAGGGAGCCAGCTCCAACACGCTGGAAATCCAGTGCGTCAAAACAGACTTGAATGAATCTGCTGGAGCACGGAAATCCAGCAGCCTCCCTTGTAACATGTATCAGCATCCCCAAGCTGAAAAATAGCGGCAAGGTGCTTTGAACTAAACCTCATTTGATGAACTTTAGTTCAAACCACGCTGCCATTTTTCAGCACAAGGGATGCTGATACACATGATGCTCAGGCACTTTTAATTAGCATGGCTCGCTAATTAAAGCACTTTCCTGCGCCTCTCAGAGCACATATGAAAACACGCTGTGCTTCCGGAAGAGGCACTACATATTTTCTCCTATATAACACGCCCTTGTATATAATATGCACTTTATTTCTGAAAGACAGAAGGAAGGGGAAAAGATTTTTTTTACAGAATTATAGCTTCAGAGAGAGATACATCTTACTTAGTTAGTCTATAAAGAAGTATATCTACCATGCTTTCTGACTGACTTCAGACTACCATGGCTAACTACCTCTCTCTGCAGAGAGCAGGGACAGAACCTAATCTTCAGTTGACTCACCCTTCCTTTTCCTGCTTTACTAAAACCCCACCTGCTGCTGAAGACTGGGCTCTTTGGGTGCACCTATGATCTTGAAAAAAGCTAAAGAGTTGTGAAATAGGAGAAGAGACCAGGAGTGCAAGCAGATAGCAAAATTGCTCTAGGAAAGGTTAATTTAATTATTGGAAAGTCAAGACAATTAAAAAGTAGAGGATGTTATTAACACCTCCAGAGTGGTAAGCCATTAAACCAATGAGCCAGTAAGACTCCCACAGCAGCCTGAACAGTAATGACAGAGGTGCTGCACTATGGAGCAGGAATCAAAGCAGGGTAGTTCTAGTCTGGGCAGAAAGTCAACTTTCCCACTTAATACATGCACCCCAATTGTGATTGGCAAAAGAGTGTGTTATATGCAAGAAAATATGGTATAATTTTATACAAAGGTTACAACTGATGTTAAACAAAAGGATTTCTAAAAACACAGGACTTCAATTTTTAAAGATTTAAGATGTCCGAGACTGTAAAAGAATGAGAATATTTTTAAAGGTCAATAATAATACTTAAATTATAATTCAATAATTAGAATACCTGGGAAAATCATTTATCCTTTTTTATTATATAATAAACCAACATAAATGCAACTAAATTTCATTTAAAGACATATGTGACACAACAAATTTTTAAAATTTCCTCATTCATTGATTAGCACTAACTGCCATATACAGTTTTCAAATGCCTTGTAGGCATCACTGCTTGCTGTATTATAGAACAACAAGTTAGTATGAAATATTCTCATTGTAGTTTAATAGTGCAAGGTGCATGATTCCATCTTTTTGTGTAAGTTATAAAAGTAAAGTGGATATAATTTTATAATGCTTTTAACAATAAGATGCATCAGGACATCATTTATGGGCAATTTTTATCGCACTTCAAGAACTTTCAAAAAGGAGAGGGGAAACACTAAATATTAGGTATATTTACTAAACACTTCTAAAATGAGGACAGCCTAAATCCATTATAAATACCTTACTGAGTTTGACTTGAGATCTTTAAGGTATGGATCATCTGATCAATTCCAGCTGCCAAATCTATTTTTAATTCAAGATCTAATACCTGCTCTTTTGTGCTTCCAAAGCAAACCATCCCAAGACATAGCTCTTCCAGGAGGGAAAGAGTTTTTCCATCCTCCATCACAAGCAATCTAATCCTACACACACTTGCCGTCATACCACATGAATCACTCTGATGTACATTTAACAGAAAAACAAATGATTCTCTAATTCAAAAAAATTAGAGAGAGGAGTCTAGTCAAAATAAAATAAATGACAAAATTAATGAATAAATATATCAATAAAATAGTAAAAGGATAGGAAAGCACAGCAGACTGAAGGATAGAGGTTAAATTAAAGTGTGAGATACAGTCGCATACAAACAGAGCCTCCAGTTCTCATGAAGTCATTTATTGTAAGGCACAAAGGCTAAGACATTATCTGTTTTGCAGTACGCAACAGGGGGTACAAAACAAAAGGTCAACAGCCTTCACTACTAAAAAGATCATGTGTTCTACTTAATGTCATATGTAAAAGTTTGTCATTCTTTCCAAGTACTTTTCTAAACAGTCAAAATAAATGCAACTGAATCCCAATGCTTGTGGTTCCACAGTTTATTCCATATCTGGTCAATTTTACTGAAACTACTACAAGCGATGAAAAGAGTATTTTACCTGCTAGGTTTCTTAAGTTACTGATATATTTTGCAGTCATATACATAGCTTACTATTGACTGGCAATCTTAAAACCTTTTTTTACACTAACATTTTTTAAAAGTTTCAGTTCACCTTAGAAAAAGGGAAAAGCACATGTATACAAAAAGACAACTCACATTATGATATTAACAAGAGCACTTCTAAAATTTTCACGAGCCTTTTTTGGACAATAGCTGTCCTGCACTTTACAAGCTGATGTTCCAGCAATTGGTTCGCCAACTTCAGAGTCCTGTATTTTGCGTCTCTTATTCTTTTTTTCCAAATATTCTCCTTATATGAAACACAAATGGAAGTTGCATATTATGAATCCAAGCTTACAAAGTAATAAATACACTACAGTTCTCAAAGCCCTCACCTCTAATTTATTCCAATTAAGATCTCTCACCACAGTTCAAGGATCAGTCATTTGCAGAAAAAGTGAATAAAGCATTAAAAATGAATACAAATATGAATCCATAAAAAATTACACCAGCCTATTCAATGAAAATAAAAAAATAAAATATTACAATTTCAGAAACAGATGTCATTGTTTTTGTCAATTCTTTGCTAGTGTCAATAGTTCATAAAGATATTTGTTAAGTGCTAAAGTAAACCTGAATGCTAACCAAATTTCTTTTATAAAGATTTTTGAGTAAAATCCTGTCTAATGAAGTCAATGGAAGCTTTGGGATTGAGTTTACCTGGGCCAGGATTCACCCCTTCCCCCACCAAATGTATTTCCTTGATCACTGTACTGGTTTTCACATACTACACCTCCCTCCCCCCCAAAAACCCAAACAAAAACCCAAACAAAAAAACCCCTAACTCTTCCTCTTTGAAGTCAAGGAGATCTTTGTCATTTGCTTCAATAACAGAACCAGTTCCATAGTTTACAAATAAATTAGAAACACTGCTATAGTACCATATTTCCTTGTATACAACACACACTAGAATAATATACACCTTGTTTCTAAAAGACAGAATGAAGGGGAAAAAAATATTTCTTTGTAGTAAGTAACTGAGTAGCAGCAACTAGGTAGGAAGCCAAGCCCACTGATCGTTTTGCTCCCTGTGGATCACTGCAGATTTTACTTTTGGTTTCACCTGGAGCAGCAGAAACTGTGCTTACCATTTCTCGCATGTAATGCACACTCCAATGTCCAGCAGCTGTTTTTTGGGAAAAAGCCATGTGTTGTATATGTGAGGAAATATGGCATGTTATACAACATAAATCATTAAAAAAACCCACAGACTGATGTTAAAAGGAAAATGTATATGAATTATTTGTATGTAAAAGAAATAACACTCCATGAATAAGTAGTAAAATGATGATTTTTTAATGTTACAGGGTGGTAAAAGCAAGCCTAACTTTTGGAAACATTTACACCATAATGTAAACTTTGTGCCAGACCTCAATCTAATATTTTATATGAAGAACCAAAAATATCATAGTAATGAGCAACACTTAATACTATATTTTTTATCCAAGATGATAAAGATACTTGACAAATATTTGTAAGTTTACCTGCACCATAACGCTACAAGGTAAATTAAGCATTATTGGTCTCATTATACACACAAGAAAATTGAGGTACAGAAAGGTTATAAGATTGCCTGGGACCATACTGGGAGATTTTGGCAGTCTGGTAATAAAATCCTAGTCTCACAATCCTCTATTCTTGTATTACCTCAGTTTCACACTTTCCCCCCTGAAGTCTCCTTTATTAAATGTTGAGTGTTAACCTTACCAGGTGGAAACTCATTTTTGACAGTAAATTCATCAGGTCCATCATCTTTCTGTTCTTTTCTCAAGTGGAATAAAGGAGCAGCTTCCTGCCATTGTGGCTTAGTGCTTATCTGAAATGAGTATTTTATTCTTTAGCTTTATAACATACCATGGCACACCAGTCTAAAGGCTTTATGTGTCTCACACACATACACCAGAAGTAATCACAGAATCATAGGGTTGTGGAAGGGGACCCCCAGGGTCACAGAGTATGCCCAAATCGTCCCTGTCAAATGCTTATCCAGCCTCGTCTTGAAAACCTCCAATGAAGGGAATTCCATAACTTCCCTGGACAACTTACTACACTGCCTTGATGATCTTCAAGCAAGGAAGTTTCTCCTCATATTGAATCTAAACCTAGTTTACTGCAATGTAGAGTACTTACTTCATGTCCTGCCCCCCCCGCCACAAAAGGGAATAAATGTTTAAATATCAGAAGACTGCTATTATGCCCCCCCGCCATCTCCTTGTCTTCAAGCTAAACAAGCCTAGTCCGCTCAGCCTTTTCTCATACAGCTTGCCTTCCAACTCTTTTCTCATTTTGTCATCTGCCTCTAGAACCTAATTTCTCCACATCCTCCTTATAATATGGAGCATGCACAGAAAAATCTTTCACATACTAAAAATAACTTGTGACATTTTATAAGTTACTACCAATTTGTGTAAATTGTATATACCTACCACAAACCCAAGACATCTGTGATATTAAAGAAACATGAAAGCTACACTACCGCTAAGTAAAATAGGTAAAACATGGTGAAGTCATTTTCGCCAAAAGGAATCTATGACTAGGGAAAGGAACTGCAGTCAAAAATATTACAGGGGACCTAGGCTAAGATCCATTCCCCTTCGATATAAAAAATAGTTTTTCACATCTTGGATCTCACTTCATGGGGGATTCTAATGTGAAAATCATAGTGCACAATAGCCAACAATAACTTAGCAAGGCTCTGCTATTTTTCTAGAATCTAGTACTAACTTTCCCTATTTTTACTAGTCAGGTAAAACTCCTAGAAATATATTGTAAGGAAAATGACTCCTCACACTAAACTACATTAAGACTCACAATTTCCCAAAATGCACTACCCTCAATTTTTCAGGACACTTATTCAAGAATTAAGAAAAGCTTTTATTGGATTCCCCCAGGCAGAGATACAATTCTGCATCTCTCTGACTAGTTGAGGCTGTCAAAAAAACTTCCTTGACCTGAATCTTGGTAACTTTTTTTGTTAACTCAGATATTGCAAAGCAGGAATCAGATACTGCACAGTAACTTTTCGCAATTTTCACACACACAAGCAGAATTAACTCCAAAATATCTGAGTTTTCCTCCATTCCAGCTTTGCTTCTTTATCGAAACATACAAAAATAACTCTTACGTGTCCTTTGTGAAATCCTACACACGGTTAGAGGTTTACCTGTTTGAAGGCCCCCCTCTATCCCAGTTCAGGAGTAAAGGGGTTGTGTTGCTGGATTTTTATGTACTTATTTATTGTTTCAAGAAGACTGTTTATTTTAAATTAGCTCAAAATGAGCTAAGTATCACGTTAAAATCAAATGCACACAGGTTAAGAATGCCAAATGATGCAAGAGAGAATGAAAATTTCATTTTCTATAAGTAGTAATTATACCTTAAAATATGGCCTAAGTATCATTTCCAATGCAAAATCTGTTGTTTTAAGCAACCACATCCAAAGATTCCTGACATTTCCAACAGCTTTGCTAACTTTAGGTAATTATTGAGTACTAATGAGGAACTGACTAAATTTTGCTAGTTTTTGGGGGACTCACTTAAGACTGGTCTTGATATATTTAACCTTCTTCCTGCATTTCCCTGCACACCTTTAAAAGGTAAAACCTCTAGATACTGAATATATGAAGAATTCTTGATGGATTTACAAAGCTGTCTTTCATTTCATTATGCTTTCACTTACCTGAGAAATATACTACATTTCTTCCCACTTCAGTTAAGTAATAAATTAATTTTCCGCCTATTTTCCTTTTATTAAAAAAACTTCAGTTTTGTAATGGCTTTTTATTTAACTCCTTAAAAGCTATTCTTAATGCAACCCAGTATCAATTCTTAATTAGTAATCCATAGTATGTATTCTGAGACCCAAGCTTTCTTGGTTCACTGCTTCATTACTCCAGTTTCAAATCAGTATTATCACACTATTTCAAATAAGTGACAATGTCATAAAAGTAAATTAATATAGATGGTGAATCAAGCAATCCTCACCATCTGTAGTTGTCCTGTATTTAACTGAAATACAGCATAGTTTTGTACAAGTGTAACCAAATCATAGGTTTGAACTGAGGTTCAGGTCTTAATCCTGGAAGTCCTTCATATGCGCTTAATTTTACTTCTGTGAGCAGTTATATTGACCTTAATGGTAGTAAAGAAAGCATATATAAGTGTTTGACACATTGGGTCCTTTACACCTTATTATCTGTTATATTTTGTTACCCTCAAACTCTGAAGGGGTCAGGAGATTAAAATAACCTAAATTCCAGCTTTTCGATGACATGTACCTTTGTCCCTCTCCTCTATACCATAATCATTTTCAGTTAGTCTAAATAAACCACATTCATTATTTTCAATGCTTTGTATATGTAGATGAAGGTTTGTTGTTATGCCATATGCACGTGTTTTGATTAGATACATTTCTTACTGTAAATTCTCACTGTAGGTTCTCCTATGCTTCCTTTATATTCCAATGGGGAAAATTTAATTGAAGGGACAAAATAGAAAAAAAATTACCTGAGACAGACGTGGTAAAAATTTAATTGTAGACTTTGCCAATTTTCCTTTGCCAACTGTTTTGGGCTAGAAAGAAAAATAAGAAAAAAACTAAACCAGTAATACTAAACTTCTCAATATGATAAAACTTAGATTTATACAACAATTCAGTTACGGTCCTCTTTCTAATTAATTATTTTCATCCTCTCCAAAAGGCACCCTTCCATGCGCCCCATTTCCTCTCTTCTCACCAGACTGTGTTTCCACTGGAACAGCCATTTCCATTAGGCTCAGGAGGATCCATACTAACATTTTGTCAACGTAAACATTACAACAATACAAGATCATGTAAAATAACAGAAATCCACTGTTTGATTCAATTGTCATAATTACTGGTCAAAATCCCTCATATAAGAGTGGGAGAATGGGGGGTTCTTAATCAGAGCCAGGCTTCGGGGTGGGCAGTGTGGGCGACTGCCCAGAGTACCATGGTCAAGGGGGCGCCACACACACACATGCCCTGCCCTGCCCTGCCCCACCACTCATGCTGGGCAGGAGCCAGCAGGGGACTTCGGTCACAACCAGCCTTGGGGGGCAGACAAAGGGGTCTGCCATGCCCAGAAGTGACTGGAGCCAGCCAGCCAGGGCAGCAGAATAAAAAGCCCCCAGGTGGCAGCAGTGGGAAGCACTGCCAGGCAACATCACAGACTGGAAGAATGGCATCGAGGGCTTGGCCAAGGGCAAGACAGTAGTGCCCAGTGAGAAGGTGGCGCAGTTAGGTGGCCCTGGCTTGCACACCAAAGGCTTTAGCATCATGACCTGTTGGGGCTAGAGGTTAAGTTGCAGCCCCCCACCCCGGTCACTACTACTACTGTCAAGCACAAGGGCACAGGCAGCCAAGTGATGCTTCACTGTGGCTAGGCTTCATGTGTGAACAGCCCTGCCTGCTGCCCACCCACCTGCCCTTCCTACTGCCCTGTGCTGAGCCTCCACTGTCCCTCAGTCCTGCCACCTCTCACCAGGCCAGCATCTGGGGGTAAGCAAACACATGCTGCCTCATGATAGCCCACTGGGTCCCCTGCCACCCACAGCCTCTGGGGAACATGTGCCGTTCACACATGCGCATTTCCCCCCACACACACACACACTCCACCCACTCCTACCTCCCCCCACACAGTGCCAGTGACCTGGACAGGGAGGTATTCAGAGAGGCACCAAAATACAAGTTCAGCCAGGATACCATTTTCTCTAAGGCGAACAAATTTTGCAAAACACTTCCTGTTTTTCAAAAGGAAAATATCATATGTCAAATTCTCCTCTTTTCCTTCCTTTTTCCATAAAACACAATCAAATGAAGGATGTTTAAGGTGTTTTTTTTCCAGCAGCCTTCTCTTCAACACCACAAGATTGAGTTGGGGAATAAAAGGCAGCGTACACTTCCTGCTACTTCGTTGCCTCTTAACTACAGGGTCTGATATTAGATTCAACTCAGGAAGAAAGCAAGAAAGCAAGGAAGGGATGCAAATACATATGCGAACAATACATTATCTTGAAAAACTCCAGTTACTAGTAACTAACTTCCTCTTCTCTGTCAAGTAATTGTCTAGATCTACATTTTCAGTTGTTGATGACTCCAAAACAATGCACCCTCCATACATGGGGGAGCGTGTGCCCACTATACTGGGGGAGCATGCCACCAAGGCAACATAGCTGGTGATCACATGTAGATCCATGTGATCGCTATGTCACCGTAGCACACCATACAGTGACGGAGAACATCACTATGTCGCCATAGGGCAACATGTAGATATGCCCTATCGGACATAAACCAGCAGCACTCCCAGAAACCAGGTTATCTGCTGGCTCCTACAATTGCAACAACTTCCCAGGAGGATCTGGAGGGAAGAGAAATAATCAGTATAAGTTACTGTGGGACTAGGAAAAATATCATCCTAAATTACTGCAGGCAGTTCCTTAGTGGCATGGCTCATCAGTCTTCCAGAACTTAGTCCTCTCAGCCTCTAATGCTTTAGATTTTAAAATCTATATATGACATGATACAGCGTTTGGAAGAGAAGCTTAGGAGGTCACTATTCAAGCCTGCGTCCCTTCTCTGAAAGCCTGGATGCGTAAATGCAGGTTCTCTTCTTTATGTATCTCAAGAAACGTAAAGGTCTTATTTTTTTAAATCTATTTGCCATCTAATATTAATAGGATTACCAGAATGAATGAGTCACATAAATTCAGCAAGTAAACTACTGTTCTCTAGCCCATTTTGAATTACTGCCCACATAACTCCTGAAAATTAATTTAGGAACATTTAGATTTAACATGATAAAAACATGGTAAAAAGATACTACATTGTACATGGGTCAAACGATATGGCAGAAAATGTGGAATTCTCTGTCCAAACTCAGCTGACATTGTCAAGCTCCACCCAGAGTTGCAGGTGCTAGATTGTTCTGTTGTAAGTAGTAGCAAAACCAGATAACATTAAAATGGTTAGCACCAACTTTCAGAATTAATTCTCTACCTACTAAAGGCATCTGACATCTTCCAGAAACACTTTCAAATTAACAGATTTGAAAAGATTGGAAGGATAGCATCACAACCAGAACAGCTGGCACCATAAAATCATATTATTTGGTGCCTTACACTTTTTGTAGATATTGCATCTGCGGAAACTAGGTTCCAAATATTGTCAAATAAGAATAATATAATCTTACATCACAAGTGTAAATAATTACAGTGTACTCTGCTTAAGTGCATGACCAATGGACTGAAAAAAGTCTATGCACTTATTCAAACTTAGTGTAAATAATGCTTCTTAAATACATAGCACTCTCAGTTCCATAAGATTAGCAGCCTCAAAACCAACCAGTTCTTTTCATTTTCAATAGCTCCTGTCATTTTCAAGTCTTCTCATGGAAACCTTTTGACAATCGCTTTCCCCTCCCTCCTTCTGGCCAATGAAACAGTACAAAAACAAGCAGGCGGTGGGGCTGAGAGACACTATGCACTTAAATTATGTACTGTATGTATTTAGCCAATATACAGATAACAACAGTTTGATACAAGGTGAACAACACGCACAAAAAATTGAGACTGGCACAGTGTTATTCCAATGGGAGCCAATTTTTTGACAGGCTTGCCACAGATTAGTCCTACACCCTCCAAATGCCACTCTGATCCCCTTCGTCTGCCCAGTCTGCTGCTCTACTCCCGACTCTGTACTCCCGGCCCAGTCTCCTCCTCTGCTTTCTGTCCTGTGCTCCCTGTCTAATCTCAGGCTCTCCTTGCCACTTCCTAATCAATCTGTTGCTATACTGCCTGTCCACTGCCTGATCTGTCACGTGCCACACACAGAGGTTGCCCTTGCCATTTGTGTATAGTTTGTATACAAATTCATAGTTTCATAGTTTCTAGGGTCAGAAGGGACCTGAGCAGATCATCTAGTCCGACCCCCTGCCATGACAGGAAGAGCACTCGGGTCAAATGACCCCAACAAGGTGGTCATCCAACCTCCTCTTAAAAACCCCCAGGGTGGGAGTCTGCACCACCTCCCTTGGAAGCTGGTTCCAGACTCTAGCCGCCCTGACCGTGAAGTAGCGCCTCCTGATGTCCAACTTAAACCTTCCCTCCGCCAGCTTGTGACCATTGTTCCTGGTCACTCCTTGCGGCGCTCGGGGGAACAGGGACTCCCCCAGCGCCTGCTGATCCCCCC